ATTTACAATGACCATTAAAAATACATCTTGTTGAAAGAGCACAAATCAGCTAGGACCCCAGAAAATCCAGCCCTCCCCTCCAGGCTGCCCTTAGCATCCTTGTGCCAATCTTTCCTTCTTCCAGGATAGGAATCACTTCTGGGGGGAAAAAAGAGGCCTGGCCAGAGCATTTCTGCATCAGCGAGGATATCCCCTGCCTGGGGACTCACCTTGCAGCGTGCTGCTAGCAGAAATAGGTGAGACTTAAGTTCTAATAAGAGGAAAAGTGTAAAGGCAGCAAAAAGGTGATACCGAGCACAGCTTAGCTGGAGGAGAGAAGGAGGGCTGCTGTGTATAGAACCATAGAGACACGCCTGGGGGTGTTTGCACACATCAGTCCAAGGCAATTCAGCCACTGTGTGAAGTTTCACAGCATCGTTTATTCTAGAAAAGAGAAGGGCTTCAAGGACAGCTGCTTTGCAGCAGTCCTCTGTGCACAGCACATAAACCTGAACATTAAATATTGGTTTAAATTATTTAGAATAAATTTAAATTTAAAAATAGGCTAATGCAAACAAACAAAGTTCAGTTGACATTGGAACAGAGATAATTTTAGGAAGCATATTGCTATTGCAAATGCAACACCTTGTTCCTTTGGACACTCTGAGGCAAAGATCTGGTAATTCCAGTCCAGCACCAAGATGCACATACTACCCAGCAAGGAAAAATTGCCATCTCCAGCATATGGAGCTCCATGTTCACATTTTTCTTTTTTTCCCCATCACAACAGAAAAAAAAAGCCAACATAGCACATTAGCTTTTCCCACAAAGCATCTGAGGTGACAAAATTTACTTGGAAAACAAAAATTAACAAAAGCAGTACAAAGAAGAGTCCTGGTCAGCTTGTGACCACACTAAGCCAAGATGGGTAAGAAAAAGAATAAAAAAATAGTTCACATCCGGCACTACAAACCTTCCTGACTTTCTTTGAAATCAGGGAATGAGAAAAAAGGTCCACTTTACTGAGACCCTTTCAACAAAGTGTTCTTTCCCTGAACCTAGAAAATCCAGGTGTTAGGGTACAGAACTTTTGTTTTCTATGTATATAAATACACATGTACATATTTATATAAATATAAAAGCAGAGCATCCTCCCATTTCTCCTCATACTTTATTATAATTAAAGCTTGTAACAGAGTTAGCTGGACTCTTCAGAAGTGGGTACTCTCCGCACATACACGGCACAGGGAGCTGAGCTCTGCTAGAGCAGAACAGCTGGGCAGGGACGTGAAACGTTGGGCAACCAGGGTGGATTCGGGTGAGCAGCCAGGGAAGGGCAGGGAGCAATGGCTGGAAATGGCCACACTCTGGCCCACCAGAGCTGGTCTCTGTGAGCAGACTGGGTGACGGCATGGGAGGATGGCTGCACCGACCCACCCGGCCCCTCGGCAGCCCAGCTGCCCACCCACCTTCTTCCGTACAGCTGCTGCAGAGGGACTGTCCCTTGCTTTTAGAGGGAGTCCCAGCTTGCCCCCTAAGCCCACGCGTGCTAGTTCCCTTTGGCAGTACTCCCCACTGTGCTGCCATGGGTCTTTTTGCCTACTGTCTTCAAAGTCACCTGTGCCATCCCCTGCTCTGTTCGGTTCCCCAGGCCCTCCATCTAGTCCTCCCAGCCCTCCTGCTTGCTGCCCAAGACCAGACACCCTTTCCTCCCCGGATCCACAGGCTCCTACTCACAAAGTTTTACATGAATGCTTTCCCACAGTCTCATAAGTCCCAATAACTTCCTCAGGGGACTGAGTTTCTCAGAGATTTGCTGCTCTTGGAGACCTCCGAGTAAGTCAGGGGTGGTGGTGCACGCTCCTCGCGCAGTGCTGACTTTGTTCCAGAAAGAGCAGTGGCAAAGTGCAAAACATTTCTTGAAATAGGAAGGTATTTCCACCACCGACAGCTCTCTCTCCTTCACGTTGTATAGTACTTCTTTCAAGTAAGGTTTTATCCATGTGTCTCTGCAGCCTTCACTCTTCCTGGGATGAGTGGAGATCAGTAGATGTCTGCTGGTGACCATCTGAGCCACTTGGTCGTGACACTGGAATAGCCAAAAACATTCAAACCTGACTGCCTTCTTTGCACCAAAAAGTGCTTTTCTTGAGAAACAAAATGAAAACAGTGTTCCCATGGACTCAAAAATCATATTTCCTAGGGTGGGAAGGATGGAGCACGCCTACTTTATTTGGCTTTACCTCAATAAGGAAACAGAGCTACTTGCGAAATTGGCGCATCTTTGTGAAGCTGTTAAACCGGGGACCCTGGCTGGAATGTAAAAAGAAATGACGGAGGCAAAGGAGAACTTTGCCTCACGCTTGGGCTTCTGCTAGTTCTGGCGATTTCACGTGCAGGTTGTCCAAAAACATTCTGCTAGCCAAGGAAAAGATGAATCTCTCGAATCATAAACAGTGGGTTTTCAAAGGGGCCTCTTGGGGGAACTGCTACAACCTGGTAGAGGTAAGTCTTTTCATGCCCCGCCGCTGAGCCAGACTGGAGGACAATACAGGCTCCAGCCTCGGTGCCTGAGGTGCTCGGTTTAAAGCAAAGTAAGTGGCTGCCATTGCACCCTGTAAAAAATAAAATTAAAAAAAAAAAAAAAAAAAAGAGAAAATGCTGAGCTGAAATTCGGTTCTTTGATGCTTTTCCCCTCCCTCTCCCTATCCAGTCCCCTGAAAAAAATGGACATGCATGGACAATTCAAGAGTCCAGAGGAGAGCCACGAAATTGGTCAGAGGGCTGGAGCACCTCCCCTATGAGGACAGGCTGAGAGAGTTGGGGTTGTTCAGCCTGGAGAAGAGAAGGCTCCAGGGAGACTTAATAGCAGCTTCCAGTGCTGAAAGGGGGCTACAGGAGAGATGGGGAGG